GGATGTGGAGAAGCTTGAAGAGAGTCCAGAGAAGAGCCACACGCATGATCAGAGGTCAGGAAAGCAGACCTTACGATGACAGGCTGAGAGCCATGGGGCTCTTTAGCCTGGAAAAGCGCAGGCTCAGGGGTGATCTGATGGCCACCTATAAGTTTATCAGGGGTGACCACCAGCATCTGGGGGAATGTTTGTTCATCAGAGTGCCCCAAGGAATGAGGAGGTCGAATGGTTATAAACTACTGCAAGACCGTTTCAGGCTGGACATAAGGAAGAGTTTCTTTACAGTCCGAGCCCCCAAGGTCTGGAATAGCCTGCCATCGGAGGTGGTTCAAGCACCTACATTGAACACCTTCAAGAGTAAATTGGATGCTTATCTTGATGAGATCCCATGACCCCAGCTGACTTCCTGCCCTTCGGGTGTGGGGCTGACTCGATGATCTTCCGAGGTCCCTTCCAGCCCTAATGTCTATGAAATCTATGAAAGTCTATGATTTAGTCTGGAGAAGAGAAGACCAAGGGGAGATTTATTAGCAGCCTTCAACTACCTGAGGGGTGGTTCCAAAGAGGATGGAACTGGACTGTTCTCAGTGGTGGCAGATGAGAGAACAAGGAGCAATGGTCTCAAAATGCAGCAAAGGAAGTTTAAATTAGATATTAAGAAATACTCTCTCACAAGGAGGGTAGTAAGCACTGGAACAGGTTACCCAGAGAGGTGGGGGAATCTCCATCCCTGAAGGTTTTCAAGACCCAGCTAGACAAAGCCTTGGCTGGGATGATCTAGTTGGGGATGATCCTGCTTTAAGTAGGGAGTTGGACTAGATAACCTCCTGAGGTCCCTTCCAACCCTCATTTTCCATGATTCTATTATTCTTTGTAAATATGTCAATAAGCATGAAAATGTATTGCATAAATATATTTATATGACAAATGATTTTTTTAAATATTATTTTATAAATACTTTGAGAGCTGCAATATTTTCTGTATAAAGATGAGCCAAACATTTCGCAATTGGATCATGATCTTGGGTACTTCTTTTTTGGAATGGCCAGTTCAGGACATCTTTGGGTGGACATCCAATCTACTTGCAGCTTCAATCAACTTCCAGTTTTAGCTGGAGGTGATCCCTAGCAAAATGAGCAGTGGGTGATGACAGCACAAGCACCAAGCATTCACTTACAGAGGACTCAAGAACAGCAGCTGCTTAAACCCCACCAACCACAGCTGGCCTGGCCCAGACCTTGCTACCCAGGGACCAGACCCTAGCTCAGGCATGGGCAAAATAAGGCCTGCAGGAGGGACTTGGTCTGGCCCACAGCAGGTCCCTGGGTCCCACCCGAACTATTCAAGGCACTGTCTGGCCCACGGTGCGTCTCGCCGCTTACAGGCGCGCAGCAGGGCTGGGGCAGCTCCATGCCCAGACTCCATTTCTGGGCAGCCCCAGCAGCAGCAGATTACAGCTGTGCCCTGCCAGACCACGCTGTCACCACCACAAGATCCCTGCCCTGGAGCAGCTCCCCACCCTGCCAGGCCCGATCTTCACCGAAGCCCCGGCCCCGCATGGTCATGGCGCAGCGCTGCTGGGGTCTCCGTGGAAGCTGGCCACAGCCATGCAGGCAGGGGCTGCCAGGAGATGGAGCCGGGCTGCCTGCCAGGTCCGCGAACCACACTTTGCCTGCCCCTGCCACAGAGGGAGCTTCGAGCTGAATCCGCATCATCTTCCCTTTGGGTTTGGGGCGCTGCAAGCTACGCGGGTCCGAGCCCCACTGAATGGGCTCGTCTTTCGGCTGCAAGAGAAATACCCACCTCGCCTTAAGCCGCTAAGGGGCTGCGCTGGCAGGTGCCAGCACGTAGCCTCGGCAGGCGGGGGCGGGGCGGGCTTGCCCGGCAGCAGCGGGGCCCGGGACAGGAAGACGGAACCCCCAGGTGTAAAACAGCCACGGGGAGGGGCGGGGAGCGGGGGACTCTGCAGGTCTCAGCACGCAACGCTGTGCCTCAGGCCGGGCCCGCGCGCCGGGGGACCGCTCACCTCCCCGGGACCGCCGGCACCGCGTCTTTTCGGAAGCTCCCACCAGGGCCGCCGGGGAGAGACTACACTTCCCAGAAGGCTCCGCGCCACAGGCCCAGGGGCAGGCAGAGCGGCGCGGTGCATGCTGGGGGAAGCCGAGCGCCTGTGGCTCATGCGACGGCCTGCGTGCGTGACGTTACGACTGTAAGTCCCAGGGTGCCTCGCGGCAGGACTACAGCTCCCACGAGGCCTTGCGGCGCCGCTAATGAGACGGCGCTGCTCTTGCTGCGCAGTCGCTAGGAGTCAAGATGGCGGTACTGAGCCGGGTGTACAGTATTTTCCTCCGACGTACGTCCGTCTTCGCCCTCACCGTGGTGGGTGGGGTCGTGCTGTTCGAGCGCGCCTTCGACCAGGGCGTTGACGCGCTCTTCGACCATCTCAATGAAGGGGTAAGTGCCGGGGCGCGGGGCCCGGCCCGGCCTGGCCTGTGTGACCTTGGTGGGTGCGCTACCGGGACGGGGAAAGAGCCTCTCGGCGCTGCGGGCTGGGCTCGGGGCTCGTGTCCGCCCGCCTGGCAGGATGCCGAGGGCCCGGCTGAGGATCGCTGCTGTGAAGAGAAGCAGCGGCCAGGCCTCTGCTGCGGGGCTTGTCCACAGCTTCACCCAGAAGGACGCGGCGGGCGTGGACTGGGTGCTCCCCCTGCCAGGGCGCCACAGGGGTGATGCATTTTGGCAAGCGGGTGGTAGTTCTCTTGTGTGAGCGTTCTGTTCTCCCCATCGAGCTGTGGTGGGAAGTGGTTCAGTGCCCTGCGCATCCGTGCCAAGTCATCTTTCTAACCAGCTGTGTCATGTGTGAAGGGTTTGCACATTCCTGTGGCAAGGCTCCTTCCCCCCTCCTCCCCCCAATTTGGCTACACCTTTCAGCTTGAGCTGTTTGCTTTCCTGCAAGCCTCTCAATTGAGGCATTGTGTCACAGTGTTGTAAAGTGCTCTCCCCTTGGTCCCCCCCAGCCTGGGACTGAGTGTTAACTCTCTCTTGAGGAGCTGTTTTTTGTAAGGATGCGAAGCCTTGTTTTGCAAATGGTGACAGACAGTTGGAGTTCCTGTGTCCACACAGGTCTTTACAAATGCTGAGTGTACCAGTTGGTTGCTGTGTTTAGAACTAAGATCCACTGTCTTGACTGAAATGGTTTCTGTCTTTCTCTGTAGCAAGAAGTATGGCCTCTTCCTGGGATCTCTTGAGTGTATATTAACAAACTTGACAGGAGCAGGATGCTGGTTGCTGTGGTTCCCCTGCTCTACCTGTGGCAGATGAAGGTGTTATGTCTTGTGTTGTGGCAGGGTTGACAGCCTAGTTCAGGGGTGGGCAAAATGCGGCCCAGGGGCCAGATGCAGCCTGCTAGGCCATTCTATCCAGCCCATGGGACCCCTAAAAAATTTAGAAAATGAATATTTATCTGCCCCTGGCTGCCTGTCATGTGCCCCTCGATGGCTTGCCAAAACTCAGTAAGCAGCCCTCTGCCTGAACTAACTGGCCACCCAGGCTTAGTTTCTCTAAGAGGCTAGTGGTTTGGATAGGGATGATCCTGCCTCCAGCAAGGGTTAGACAAGATGACCTCTGGAGGTCACTTCCAGTCTGAGTTCAGTACGGTTCTATGGTTCCTTCCCAGCATGAATAAGAAGCCAGAAGCATTGTAGCTGTAATACTTTTCTGTTGACTGTTAGACTTCAGAGTGGGGGAGCAGTGAGAGAGGACAGGCAAAACACCACACTTTGTCTCCTGTAAATATTTTTTAAAAGCCATCTGCGTTCTCTGCCTGCTTCTATGTCTAAGGCAGATGCTAAATATAGGACTGCACTGGGTATGATGCTCTGTCCATGCAGTTACAGCATTCTGCTGGGGAAATGCATGGTACAGAGCTATGGTGGTACTCCCACCAGGAGTTGCATTAAGTCTCCTGGTGGCTGGATACAGGGATCAATAAAAAAGTGAAGCGGTAAATGTACTGGCCTAAGTGCAGAAAAGAAATGGATAGGACAAAAGACAGCGAGTGGAGGAAGGGCAGGGTCTCATTGTACCACCACTGCAGGAAGGAAGTTCACCAAAAGAGTTGGCATCTTTTTATGTTGCTAGCCCCACTCAACAGTGTAACACCTCCTTTAGCAATTACCTTAGTACTCATCAGTTTCAAATAGGTACTGAGCATTATGAAACAGAGTACTTGTAATTCCCAGAATGCAGTGGTTTGCACATTCTGCAGTTATAGGGCTTTGCAGATGCGCCAAAGTGGTCCTCCAAACTAATATTATTGCCTGATGTGCTATCATCACCAAGACACTAAAATGTCTCCTGTCATTGCAGTCCTTGCAGTGAGTCCTCACTTTGTAGATCTTGCCTTCTGTCTTAATGTAAAATAAGCCCAGCACCATTGGGGAGATCATAAAATTGTGGGTTTTGTTTGGTTTTTCCCCAAATGCAGAAGCTGTGGAAACATATCAAGCACAAGTATGAAAATGAGCAACAGTAAATTGCCAAGCACCGGATCCGTGGTGAGGTATTTGTGGTGTTTTGTGCAAAGCTTTCCATCTCCTGATGCCAGCTATCAAAAATGGACAGGGATTTCTGACTGAAGCCAGAGGTGCATCCACTACTTCCAGCTATGACAGAGAACTAAATGGACTCAAGGATTTCCTCTTGTGTTGAAACTTACCATGGTAAAATAATAAAGTCACTGACTTGTACCTCATGCTTGCGTGTTCATCTGAATTAGCCTGGTGCTCTGTATGTAAGGGAAGGTTTGCTCTTCAGAAAATGGAGGCTCTTATTTAGTTTGGCAATAAGTGTATTTTCAGTATGGAAAGAAGTTACTTTTAGTGTAACCTGACAGATTTGGAAGCATTTATATAGCTAAGGGCTGTTGTCAATATTTACTGCCTCTGCTTGGAAAATGTTACCATTTTTGACTCATAAATAAATGTTCAGGCAGCAGCAAAAGCCTTAAATAGGCAGACATAATAACTAGCCAGTATGTCACAGCAGAAACAATCTGCCCTTAAACACTTGTTTTTATTGAACTATTAAAGGGCTGTTTATTTGCAAAAGTTATTCCTCTTTTAGTCAACTATATTTTACTGCCTTGGGATTCACATGATGCTTTAGTTTCACATATTTCTTAAAGTGACTTTTAGACTTCCCCAGTCCAGGAGTGAGAGTATAACTTTTTCTTTTCTTGCATCTCACACAAGCCATTCTTTATACACTGGCAAATTATATCCATTTACTTATTCAGCAAAAGGGTTGCTTCAGTGACCTCAGTTTTAATTTAAAAAAAAAGGATTATCTATCCCTGTTTAGTGAAGTGATCCTTTCTCTTAGACCAGGGGTTTTCAACCTTTTTTAAGAAGTGTACTCCTTCTAGTGGCGGTGGCTGGACATGGAGTTGGAGGAGGGGCTTGCATGCAGCCTCTGGCACTTACTGCCACCACACCCCACTTTCCCACAGCCGATTGCACATGTGGCTCCACAGGCTGCTAACGGGCCTTGCACCCCACCAATCACACACCGCCCATCAGCAGTTTGCAGAGTCGCGTGTATGACCGGCTGCAGGAAAGCAGTGCGCAGTAGCAGTGCAGGGTAGTGGATGGTGGTCAGTGTGTGTGAACTCCCCTTCTGCTGCCCCCTACTTGTCCTTATTGAATCCCATCTGACTGCAAACCGCTTCTCCAGTCTATCCCAGTCATTCTGGTTCTTAGTCAGAGTACCCACAATTCTACCCAGCTTTGTGTCACCCACAGGTTTGTGAAGCATGTAGCATTTGATCTTATCATCCAAATGACTGAAGATATTAAACAATATCAGACCCCAGGGGAACCCCACTTGATACCCTTTCCTGACTAGATATTGAGCCATTGAAGACTGTGCACTGATAATAAAGATCTAACCAGTTGTGCCTTCACCTTACAGTACTTTCAGGCCATTCTATCTGGCATGCAGGGCCCCTAAAAATTAAAAAAAAAAAAAAATCTGCCCCTGGCCGCCTGTCAAAAATGACAGGAGCCAGGGACAGGAGGACTGAGGGGAAGCCATGGCAGGCTTCTGCAACAGCAAGGCCCACCTAACCCCCCTCCCCCCACCCAGCCGAAAGCCCTTGCCTAGCAGGGGCTTCTGGTCTGGAAGTGTGGGGTTGTTTGCCTCCCTGCGCTGCAGTAGCAAATTGAGGTAAGAGGGGGGGGACCACAGGTGATTGTCCCAGTCTTCAGGGCCCAGCCAGCTCCTGCTGATTCCCACAGTCCGGCCATGCAGCCGGGAGCCACATGGTGCAGAGCAGCCAGCAGATGCCCAGGAAACCAGGGAAAGTGGCGGCCCTGGGAGTGGAAGCGAGTGGTGGGCGGGAGCACAGGGCCTGGGCCAGTGTCCTGGGTCCAGCACCAGTGGAGCCCAGAGCGTGGTGGCAGGAGCGCCGGGCCTGGGCTGGCAGGGGTCTGGAGCTGGCTTGGGCTGTGCCAGCAAGGAGAAAGAGGAGCTGGCCCAGCTCCATAGAGCCTTAGCCTGCTGGGACCCTGTGCTCCTGCCATCCCATTCTGGGCCCTGCTGGCACTGGCCCCAGAACGTTGCAGGCCCTGCGCTCCGGTCCAGCCCTTTGCTGGCTCCAGCACACCCACTCACTTCCACTCCCCAACCCCCTGCCCTGTGGCACAGGTGGGGATGAGAGTGCACAGCTCTGATCCTGTGCTTGCCCATCTGGGCTGAGCAGCAGCAGCGGAAAACAAACTGCTGCTCAAAGCAGGACCTCCCCCTCCCCATGGCCAGCGCTTCCTGGTGCATCTGCTCGGAGCCCATGTGGAGCTACCTGTCTCTTGCATCACCACTGCCTCTGGGCTGTCCCATGGGGCAGCAGTGGCAGCAGAGAGCAGGCACAGCCAGACCCATGGGGGCTGTAAGCAGCTGAACCAGGGAGCACCAGCAGCGGGAAGGAGATGGGCTGCTTTCCCCCACCTCACTGAACAGCAGTTTGTCCCTATGACGCTGGGCCAGCTCCCTGCTCTCCCTGCTGATGCAGCCCAGCTCCATGGACCACTGCCAGCCCACATCCTGTGCTCCTGCCACCCCACTCTGGGCCCTACTAGCGCTGGCCCCAGGACATCAGTGCAGGGCCCATGCTCCCACACACCTGCTCACTTCAACTCCCCCTGCTCTTGCTGCCACTTTCCCCACTTTCCTGCCCACGTGCCAACCGCTCTGCATCATGTGGCTTCCATACCCACACACACACATCCCCACAAACCCTCATACCCACCCAGCCACCCATACCCCCCACCCTGACACCTCTGCACACCCCACACACTATACAAGTAAGACTACATTTTGAGCGATTATGCAATCACTTCTACATATACAGCACAAAGGCACGTAAATCCTGTCAAGGGGTTTAGCTACCCATGCGGCCCTCAGCGGCTTGCTAAAACTGGGTAAGTGGCCCTCTGCCCAAAATAATTGCCTGCCCCTCCTTTAGGGTCAGGGCTGCTAAGCTGTGGAATGGGCTCCCGAGGGAGGCGGTTCTCTCCTCTACCTTGGGGGTCTTTAAGAGGAGGTTGGATAGATATCTGGCTGGGGTATTATGATCCCAGCACTTGTTCCCACCCAGGGCAGGGGGTCGGACTTGATCTGTTCAGGTCCCTTCCAATGCTAGAAACTATGAAACTATGAAATCAGGACAAAAATACATTTTTAAATTAAATTAAAATATATTAGTATGGGTGTTTGATTTTTAGCACAGGCAACCTCCGCTTAAGACTGTTTCACTTAACGCTATTTCGCTATAGTGCTCATTTCAGTTTGATACCTGGTTTCACTTAGCACTCATGGGTTTTGTTATAACACTCATGGGTATCAAGCAGGGAGCATCGGCGGCGTTCAGCCTCATCGCTATCTTGCTTCATAAAAACTTTTGTGCTCTTTCATGCTCTTTTGTGCTTGTGTCACCGTCTTGCTTCATTTTTCTGGGTTGCACCATGAGTCAGAAATGTGCAACTGACTCTGAGAGTGCAAGTGCCAAGAAAAAACAGCACAAAAGCATAATGTTGGAGCTTAAACTGGATGTCCTGAAGCCAATTGAAGCAGGGGAATGCCAGAATGGGGTCTGTAGAGCATTGAATTTGGCTGGGTCAACTGTTAGGACCATATTGAAAAATAAAGACAAAATACAAGAATGTGGTAGAATTGTAACTCCTTTGAATGCTCTGAAACTCAGTAGGAGTAAGGGTCCAATTAGGTTAGAAATGGAGAGGCTGTTAAGTGTGTGGATTGAAGATACAACTCAATGCTGTATGCCCTTGAGTATCCTGCTTATTCAGAAGGCTAAGAGTCTGTATGATGATTTACAGAAAAATTTGCCTGAGGGGTCTACTTCTGAGCCCTTTTATGCAAGTAAGGGGTGGTTCGAAAGATTTAAGACATACAGCAACTTGCATAATGTTTCTATTCAGGGGGAGGCTGCTAGTGCTGACACCCAAGCAGCTTCCAGTTATAGAAATAAGCTTGTGGAAATTATTGAGGAGCGGGGTTATATGCAAGTCCTCAATGCTGATGAGACAGGCCTCTTCTGGAAGAGGATGCCTTCTAGGACCTGCATTTCCAGGGAGAAGTTGATGCCAGGTTTTAAGGTGTCCAAGGTGACTTACTTTATTGTTTGGTGGTAATGCTGCAGGGGATTTTAAATTGAAACCGTTGCTTGTATACCACTCAGAAAACCCCAGCGCCCTCAAGGGGTATCTTAAAAGTAGTCTGCCAGTTATTAGAAAGTCTAACAAGAAGGCCTAGGTGACAATGTCAGTCTTTCAGAGTTGGTTCAGGGATCATTTTTGTCCTGCAGTTGAAATACTGTGCTGAGAACCATCTGTCCCACAGACAATGCACCAGGGCATCCTACCACACTTGATGACCACAGTGATAATATAAAAGTTGTTTTCCTGCCCCCAAATACCACCTCCACCATACAGCCCATGGACCAGGGTGTCATTGCTGCCTTTAAGGCTTGTTACATAAGGAAAACATTCACCCAGGCAGTCAGGGCTACTGAAGATGAGGGTGCTCTGACCCTAAAAGAATTGTGGAAGGCTATAATACCTGTAAGGCAATAAATAACAGTTCAAGTGCCTGGGATGAAGTTGCCTCCAAAACAATGAATAGTGTCTGGGAAAAGCTTTGGGCAGACTGTGTCCAAGATTCCCAAGAGGCTGAGGAACCAGTGGTGACAGTTCAGGACAATACTGTTGAGCTTGGAAGGAAAATTGGATTTGCTGAACTTGAACCTGAGGACATTCAGGAGTTGATTGATTCCAACAGGGAGGAATTGAGTAATGAGGACCTCATTCAAATAGAGCAGCAGAGAAGCCATGAAGAGGAGGAAGATGCTGAAGAAGATGTTCAACCAGCAAGGGACTTAACTAGCAAAGGCTTGGCTGAAGCTTTCAAACATCTTGAAGCTTTTCTTTCCTACTTTGATGAGAATGACCCTGACATGCAGCACAGTTCTGCAGTTGCAAGAGGAGTTAACAATG